AAAGAAACACACTGGGGCGCTGTTCTATAGGTGAGCTCTCCTGGCTTCTGTTTAGGTTATCTTGGTGAGATGGTGCGCTCGAATTGCACAATTTGCTCTTGGGCGTTGTTCAAACAAGACTCCCAGTGATTCACCGCTGACGACGATGATGATTATTTTGTAATCTTGATGAGCTATTCACGACTGTGATTAACCGCGTAAAAGATGGCCCTTTGAAGCGTTCGACTAAAAGAATGAGGGTGATCGCCTTGATCTGCGTTCCGCAGCTTATACGATCGCTAAGTTGAAGAGAAAATTTGAAAGAATGAAGACAGCATTTCCTGTAATTATACTACAGTGTCCTTTCCGGTACTTTACATATTAACAATTCGGATACCAGGCAAGAGATGAGATTCTTTATTGTAGACATGTGATCACTTTTTGTTTCACACACTCACCGACACCAACACACAAACGGTTTGGGCAAAATACTACGAAAGGATGGCGCGAATTATCGGCTTCTCCAAGGCCCGCGATTGATGCGTTGTTTGCAGCGCCCTACGATCGTAAAAACTTACTCTCCGACTGAAGAGGTCGGCGACTCTTCTGATAAATTGCAGTCATATTGTTAGGCCCATTTCACCGATAACGGCCACAGGCAAGGCCTAAGCTATCTGTTTTAATTAGGAAGTAATTACCAGAAAATGAACAAGGCCGCATTGTAAGGATTCCACGGGGACCACAAACAAGTAGCATGTTGTAGCCATGCAACATTTGTTGATACCACCATGATACGATTTATTACATGTAACAAAATCCATAAGTGGATAACGCCTTACCAGAAACCAATAGGGGTGCTGTCTTGCACCATACCGGTACTGCGGTGGGGGGGGGGGTTAAACCATATGCTTTTCATCTTCCGCGTTCGTACTGGCAAGATGCCGGGGTGTATCAACAAAGCTTTCTTTTCGTTCCTCCTATACATGGTTTAACAAAGTTAAAGGCGTGTCGTGGTAGTTATTCGAGATTATTTTCTTGAGCGATTTGAGCCGATGGAACCTTTTTTTTTGTACGAGGAAATGTCTGCAATGATGACGGCAGCAGACAACCAGAATTTAATACCATCACTGCGTCAGAATCACGCCCGTTGGCAGGTGGTAAACACTTAAGCAGTGAGTCAGTTTAGCAATTAAAAAAAAGTAAGGTCATTCAGTAACAAAGCACGCGCGCAAGTCCGCATAGGGCCTCGCTGCTAGGACAGTCCTCGCACGCGCGTCCAAATGACCTCGGACGCACTTCATTTGGGGCATGCGCTGTTGGAATACCGAACTGGCTCGTTAATCTGTGGCGGTAGAATGGCGTCAACGCAGCTTGTGTAATGTTTTCCAATCACAATTTGCATACAAAACACGTAGGACGCGGAAAATCTGAGCCAACCAAACGTCAACCTACAAAATTCTATAGCTAGCTCAAAGGTGGTGGTTAACTCTCAAACGGTGAAAGGTCAGTTAAGTATCCGCCCGGAGCAGAAGACCCCGTCATCAGTTGAAAAAAAGCATGTAAGTGGGAAGTGTTTATTTAGTCGGTAGCAACGCGACCGCGGTGCATGTATTTCATACTGTAATCGTGCGTGCACAAACCAAGTGCAGTTACCACAAAAGAAGCCTCCGTTACTAGGACAATTGCGCCCTCTCTTGATCCCGCTCGGAGCCCACAGTGACTTTACCAAATGCATGCGCACCTCAAGTTTATGTACATGTACGTGCGAATGAGTGTGTGGTGCCACCGCAAGTTTCCCGCAAAGTGACAGCTAGAGTACATTGCACAGCCTTTGACGAGCCCTTAATAAACGTTCGCGTAACAGCTTTTAAAAAATGATTTTCAGCAACCATTGCGCCTTTCTCTTAACGTATATATGAGAACCTGACTGATGCGAAAAATGATCTATCGTGTGCCACTCGGGCCTCCTGTATGTTCGAATTCCCTGCTTTCAGGAAATGCCCAATTAGTGCCGCAGGAAAAGTGCACCACTTAGGCCTCACATTTTATCTACTTTGACATGTGACTGAGGTTTCGAGGCGCCTGTGCATTTGACGACGCCTTATTTTGCAACTCATCGTGACTGCAAATTCAAAACAATACTTACAGCGCCCCCTGTAGGTTAACGTAATCGAAAATATGCCATTCAGTAAAAGCTTCTTCTTTGAATATTTAGTCCATATCCAGCAAACACCAAGATTCAAGTTTTCAACAATAAAATGTTTTGAAACGTTCTTACCTGAAACTGTAATTTTGAGACGGTTGCAAAGAGTCATGCTAAGAATCACCCGGGAGTATATCTTTTCCTGGAAAAACAACACCAATTTTTGATGATCAGAATTTGCCTAGGCAATTTGTATGAACCCCATCTCATAGCTCAACAGATCCAGGGTAGCTGAAAAATGGGCTAGCCGCCGGCCATGGTGGCACAGTGGTTACAAAGCAAAGCTACTCATTATTATGCCAGAGTAATTTGACCAAGTGGCTCAATATAAACTGGTTTGGGAAATCGCCACTACTGCGACAACACCATACTGACGTGCATGTTGCAAGCAACTCTCGAACTTGAGGCGCACGTGTATTTTGGCAAGTCATGACACCCTGCATTGGTCATAAAGGTACTGAACGCGCGCGTAGAACATGCGTGTGATGAGTGTGATACCCAAGCACTAATGGCTCCTCAATCTGACTGCCGGATCACAATGTGGAAGTACACACATTAACATCATATTCTTCGTCAGCTGGGAAAATGACGTCACCTTCTGTAAAGGTTCATTTTTTCGGGTTTATGAAGATCCACTGCTGAATTAAAATGTTGCATTGCCCCCGATCTTTGTGGAACTACGCTGTGATTAAGAAAAAACCTGATAGTGGTTATTGGAAGAAACCTAAAGTTTCAACCCTTTTTAGTTTACTACTACTGCCTACCAAAGATCGAATGATTTTAATCCTTGTACCTCGGACATTAGAACTTTGCAACCTTTTGCCCCGCGCAAGATCCCCATTCAAGGTGATCTTTCTAAATTTAGGCTGTGACTTCAACCAACGTTTTCTATCTTTGATGTTAAATCCGGAAATCCCAATTACCGACACATTTCTCGCGCAATCCCAAAACAGGGATGAGCTGTGTAGAGATTTGGTCTGGTCAAGACGTTTGGACACAGTTCAATTTTAGGTGTAATTGTCACAGTTTACGACGAAGACGACATACCTAACACAATTTATTTTAAAGATTAAAAAGCACTTTAAATGATCAGTGAACAAATAAATTCATAGAGAAGCCTCTTTAGGCTGATTGCTAGAACTGAAACCCAAATAAAATCCATCAATATACTTTCATTTCTATGACCGATGGATCAACCGCAGAAGTAACAAGCGGCGTATGCCCTCAGAAGGGGGGGGGGGTGCAGTGTACACTTTTTGACAATTTGATACTGTATCTCAAGACGTTCGTGGAATATTTGTTTTGTTCCTAGAAGTTCTCGCTTTGTTTGAGCGATTCCGTATAAGTGTTTACAAACCATTTGAACCAATTCATTCTTAATGGCTTACAAAACAATAATTTAAAACGTGCTTGAGTTTGGCGTGATCAGAGAAAGAAATACCTGCGTGTTTGTTGTGTACACGACGACATAAAAGAAAGGATTACACCACAGGACGATAGGTCCTAGGTTGCCAACCTGTGCTCGGTTGGAAAGTTTGTTCTAATCAACTGAGGTGACTCGAAAAAACTAATGCATGATCAAAACAGGACTCTGAGACAAACGACGGGACGTCCATGGTGGACAAACATTGGTGGCGCAAGCATGGTTTTGTACTCGTGCGCCTATGCGACGAGTGCGTACCAAATTGCAAAGGACTGTCAATTTCATTTCAAAACACGCCCTCTTTTGTTCCTGCTCAGAGCTGATACCGTCCATGCAAAAGTTCTGAGCAAATATGCAGCGTCTAATGCTGCAGACAGCCGCTGCTGTATTCACTACGCACTTTAAACAAAACCCGCTCCAATGAAGGGCTAAATAACAATGTCCCCAATCACATCACTTGATATTCCAGGAAACAACTGGAACCAGCTTTACACTTACAAGGGTTCCTGAGGTAAATTGACTGAATTTCCTGCCCAAAAATTATTAATCCCTCCCAAAACAAGCGCCACCCCCACTTTTTACGCCCACCCCAGGAGAATGAAAAGAAAAGAAAACTGGGGATTCAGGGACAAACTCCGGACATGCCGATTGTATAATTCGGTTTCCTGAATCCCTGGGATGATGCCAGAGTGTATCCCTTGGTGACGCCACTTGGTACCCTGTATGTGTCAACGCTTGATACGTGCGTAGCCAAACAGGGGATCACCGTGGATTAGGCGTAATCTGATTTGACGCCTGGCACTCAGACCAATGTTGGTCCCCGCTAACCAGGGCGTTTAACGAGAACCCAGCAATAGTGACTAATCCCTGAGGACCTGTCACGCTGTATTCCAAATTATTTCTTTCCCCCTTCCGCGGGCATGGTGTAATATCATTATTTCCAGCCAGGAATTAAAGTGTGTGGGACGATATGACATCAGGGAATTGGCAACCCGGTGTATCGTCTATGTGACGGGGAAGTGAAAATACTCTGCTTGTCTTTCAGCGGCAATCGCATGCCGAGGCGCCACGATATGTAATTCTGTATCAGCCGGTGTACATCAACACTCGGCTACCTCACTGGCCCCGGGCATTTCCCCCCAATTTGGTACCCTTCATAAAATGTAATCCCGTGTTTTGATTTCTGCTGATGCAATTTGTTAGCCAAATGTTTGCTCGACAAAAATGACTCGCGGGACTGTCATCCAGCGCGTCTCCACGGTCGACGGCTGGGTGTGTGATAAAGTTTTTTTCCCGCACAATTATCAACAACCAACCACTGTTATATCGCACCAGTGTTATCCTCAAACTGATCGGATCTTTTCCTTTCTCTGCCCTCCTCCTCTCTCTATTCAGACAGACGGCAGCAGTCCCGGGTCCTTCTCATCCGACAAGATCCACAACTATGGCGACAACTACGATGTCACATCCCCATATGGTGCGTATCGTACAGTCTCGAGGGAATTTAAACACTCATTTACACTTCGACACAAGATACCACGAAATTCATATTAAACAAACATAATATTAGTCTTTTTTTTTACTACTGGAAAAGGAATGCGCATATAATCCCCAATATTCTGGCGATGTGGTACACTAATTAATAAAAGTCGTAATGGACACGCACTAGTCCCCAATCGATTTCGGTTGGAACAGAATCCACCTCTGCATTTTCCATGAACTCATCTGACGAGATATTCGCCCCGCGCCGTTTCCAATTTAAACTGCAGAAAACTCATGGCATCCCATAAGATACATAATTTAACAGGGTCCCGTGTACCAGACGTATCGGCTTACTAGAAGTGACAATTATTGATTGCGGTTTATTTAACCTGAAAAAAAATCTTAAAACCCCGAGCTTAACGGAAGAGACTCCTGGAAATGCAATCTGGGGAATGTTTAACCACGCCTTGACTGGAACTCAACGTCAGTCATGTACGCGACAGTGTCTGGCGTACCAAGGGGCCTTCCAATATCTGTGGAGCAAATTAGACTTGATCATTTTTATTTTCATTCTTCAGTGTTATTGATAATTTTTCTCTGTGACCTCGTTCGAGGGGAGAGGTCAGGTTGTGGACCTGCACATCCAGTCGCCGTCTGGGCTGTGTTACCAAATCGCATTCGTGTTTTCTCCGTACAACCTTATCACATATCAGGGTTTTATCAGTCTAGTTTGGGAGTCTAGTCGAGTTTCCCACAGTCCCAAGAGAAGGTTTCCGGAGGATTTTGATTCCTAACTGTCATTCCCCCTCTCGCCCACCCCGGCGGAGAAGGGAACAAAATGACAAGTCAGTCTCGGTGGGATTGTATAAATTAATTTTCAACCTGATATCTGCGAGAAGTCAAATTTTTGTTCAGGCCCTAATTTGATGAAGGCCCCAAGGTTCATGAAGGTGGGGCGTGTCAAAATGACTGGAAATGACTTTCAAATCCGTCTCCTGGATGTGGATCAACACATGGCAGCGATTGTGCGCACGACCTTCGAAATGTAGAGCGCGGGACAAGGATTCTTCCGCCCCTATCAAGCCCGTCTTCCGATCCCCCGCACCCCACTATTGAATTAGTGGAGTGACCGAGTGAGGCTATGAGACATCAGTAAGATCTGTTTAAGAACGGGTCGTGCAGGGGCCAGTGGCCTTTATTTCACAATTCCTCATCAAGACTTCCCAAAACTGTTTTTCTTTTTTAACGAACTGACAAAATCGTCCCAAGCATCATCTCTAATATTGCTGAAAACCAGATCGTAAAAGACTGTTTGGCTGAGGCAAGCGTCTGGACCTTTGTCATGTGCTTTTCAATAAAACGTTTCTCGTAGTCCAGTGAATTTTTCAGCTCATATTGTTTGTCAACACCTCCGTGTCTTCCTTGGTCTCTGGTCTACATGGTTAGAAACGTTGAGGCCAAACGCTTCAAATAAAATCTTTTATGGTAACTCCACTGGCATAACCAGGGGAAGGGGCTGTTGCAGTGCGCATGTGGGAACTACCCGCCCCCAGAAAAGAGCTTGGCTATGTAGCCAAGTGGGCGGGAGGGCAGCTGCCCTGCTGTAGGAACTCCTGCCCACTCCTCTTACCTCCGCCAAAGAGCATGACTACGTAGCCAAGGGGAGTAACTCCCCCTTGAGAACTCTTGTTCTTCTCTTGCCCCACTCCAGAGAAGAGCCTAACTACGCTATTAGGTAATTCTCGTTACGCCATAACTTGAAACAAACTATAGTGATTCTTTCTTTCTTTATTTCTTTGGTAGGTTTCCAGTGCACAAACACGTCCAGTCTGGACTGTTTGTCGTTGATCGTTGAGAGTATCACGCCCACAAAAGGTAAAGCGATCACGTCGCCCAAGAAAGCTACCTCTGACGGCTTATGCATGTGCTGAAACCTGAACGCTGGAGGATGGACTAGAATCTTTGGTCAGCTAGCCTTGCCAATTTCAAATGTTTTGCTTCGATGCTCTTGCTAATCATGAGGTTTATTCATCTGATTGCGGAGGTGAAAGGTCTACTGCAATCATGGAAGGCAGCTGGATTCACGATGTCACAAGGTGGCGCTGTATGTAATCAGTCAACTCTCATTCGCTGGAAACATTGGCATATTAGGGATTTTTATGCGACGATAACAAGGTTACCGGCAGTTTCACGACACTATCGGATGTCCGCTTGACTGAGACTTGTGAGGGACGCTGTAAACTGGTGCACGTGCCTTTGATGACAAATCAAAAGGAGGGCGCCATCTGTTGTTAGCGACAAAATTTAATAGCCTTGTGAACACGTTCTACATGGCAAAGGCTGTGATTGGACAAATATTTCTACACCTGCACAAATGTGCTGCCATAGTTTTGCTTATCATGCACAAGGCTTCCAGTTAGAACTTTGGAGACAAGTTCACAACAGTAACCCCAAATTTCTTGTTGAAATTCGACAGTGTAAAATAATTCTGAACACTTCGTGCATGGGGAGTAATTTATCTGCACAGAAAAGTGAAACTAGCTGAGTGGATGAAGGAATTACCGAAGTTTGAAGTAAACTTTGAGCAAATGATACGAATATTTCAGGATTACTAATATACTTACTAATCAAGAGTGAAGCTGAACGATTTATTCAACTGATTCAATACTTTAACCTTCATTGACTGCCGTTTTAATACTTAAGTTCAGATTTTGCATGGAAATGTCCTTTTGAAAGTGCCAAATTAATGCTTACTACAGGTCCTAGAGAGGCAATCTTTGATCGATGTGTATTAACATTTTAGGCAAAAAAATATTTTTAAACATTAAATCGGTTTCCACTGGCTGTGAGCCACATTACGTTTATTTGTAACAGCACTCTGTGCGGTTTATCTGCTGAGGTCAGGCACTTCATAAATTATGTATTAGTCTTCTCTTTCAACCAATGGGATGTCGGCCTGATTTAAACTAGACTTGTAACAATAGCATCAGTCGTTCGAGCGTTTGACACATTCTGAAGTCTATAAACAACATCAGGGAATCCCTCTCCGAAAACACATTTTACGTTGTTGCAAAACCAACGACGCAAAGACTTGTCACATCTTCGTTTATTTCACTCTCTCCCCGATATTAATGAAGCATCATGATATAAAAGGTCATATACCAATCTATAGCATCGTTTGGTAATTTTAAACTGTACGGGACCATGTTGAATTTCAGGTCACCTTTTGTGGGGGCGCAAAGTACCTACGTTGCACAGAAACAAGAGGCATATATACCGTCCTTTTCGTCCGTCCATCTGCAGTATTTATGAATTGCGTAACAGAAAAACTACTCGAATTATGAGTTGGTGCAAATTTTCTTGTGTCAACTTTCCTTCTAAGGTTCTGTGCGTATATCTGTCTTGAGAAGGATAACTTTAGAGCAGAATAATTCATTATTCTTTAAAGTGAGTACTTGTCACAAGCCATTCTGTCTGCTGTATGCATTGCCCTCGATCACCGATGCGTAACCGAAATTTGCGAGAGAGGAGTCCGCCGAGGAAACATTAATTAAGGTGGAATTTCCAAGGGGAAATATGCTATTACAGTGGCTATGTAAACGTGTTGGTTCGAGTTTAGGAAAATCCCCCAGTATCGACTCGACAATCGAGGCACTGTTCACGGAGCCCGTGACAAAGACGGTGACTCAAACTCACTTAATTTCGGCAAGTTAAATCCCCATTATTCTGGGGGTACAATTTTTTCTCATCACGTGCACTCGGGAGAGGGGTTGGGATTTTTTGCGGGGGAGGAGGTGTCCTTGGCCGCGTTAAACCTGTAGCGAATGTACATGCATAGTTAGAAGCATCCGAGGCCACAGCAATCGGAAAGTTAGACGGGGTTGACCTAGGCAACCTTCACATTACCCGTAATCTACCCACTCATCAACAGTAGTTTCGCGTGGAATTTAGGGAAACGTTCGTTGAGGACTTTTTGGATATCTCTGATTGTATGAGAACTTTGTACACCGAAGCTCATCTTCTGAAATCATTAAGTCTTCAACCCAGTATTTTTACATAATATTCAAGGAAACCTTTCAGTGCTTGTTTAATATAGTGTTATTAAGTCACTCATGGAGGCAATATATACATACACCTATCAAGTTAGTCCCACCTCGCAGATTGATTTGGAATTATTTTAATCATCAAACTTTCTGTCTGATGTTCTGTTAAGTGTTCGACAGTCGCAAGTGTATAAAGTGTAAATATAATTTACTTTATTTCTATAGCAACCAATCGTGTATTTATTACTCTTAACCATGTAAAAATATCGATGAAATATGATGTTTTGAATTTGAATATATTAAAGGAAATCACAGTTGAGATTTAAAATTTTGTATTAAATTTGTCAATGCAATTAGTTTGAAAGATAGGCTTTCTAATTACAGCTGTTCATATTACTGCGCAGTAAAAAACTTTAAGATTGCGAATCAGTTTCACAAATCACTCGTAAGTGCACCCTATTTCTGTACAAAGCGGTTAAATAACGAATCCTAACTTATCACGCATGCAAACACGGAAACATAACAATAACTGTGCAGTCTTTCAGGAGTGTACTTCGCATTAACTACAGGCCCTCCACTTGTGTTTCATGAGATCTGAAAATAATAGGTAATTCATGGACAGCCTGCAAATAAAACCGGATAACGGTGCCCCGAGGTGAACGTAATGGTCACTTCCAGGCCGAAAGTGATACCGAGAAGCGCCAAACAAAGTTACTCACACACATGCGTTTCTCGCTGCCTAGGCTAAATTATTCAAAGATATGACAAATGAATCTTTTATCGATTTTCACGAATTTCGAGCGCGCGATTCACCCTTCCCGGGCCCCTCCAAAAGGAGTGGAGTGGAAGCGCGACAGAATGCATCGAAAACAGACAACACCTTTTTTTTTTCAACATGGCTTCCTGTAATTCGATCCAGAGGTCCGGCAACTTAATTCGGCGGTTCTTCTCGCGTCCCCCTGCTGTCTTTAAATAATAAAACGGGAAGTAAAAACCCAGCCGTCGTACGTTTGCAGTCACTTTGTAAATTTTCTCAGTTCAGTATCTTTTTTCATGACCGCACATCGTTTTGACGAGAAAATTAAAAATTATCACAGTCGCCCGAAGCGTGCCCCTATTGCAATGCCGAGGTAAGTACATGTACATGTATCTTTGAAGAACAGATGCGTTGCCCGGGTTGCCGAGGCGACCTTCTCTTCTTCAGGTGGCACTAATTATTTTTCCAGGGTGAAGGTCATCATGTTGAAGTTGTGAATTGCATGTGTCCCCTTTAATTTTCTCGCCCAGGTCTATGAGTCCATTAAACAATTCCCATTCCGTATCCAGTTCCTTGCCAACGCTTCCGTTCTTTTCTTGATAGAGTACGAAAGTGATTAGGCCTACGTCACGCGCACAGATTTGTGTGTACAGGTATTAGCGCGAGAACCAGCGAATGATCCAACACGCGCGCTTGTACTTCATCCATTTGCACAATACTCATTCAAAATAACGCCACACTTCGGTACCCTGACAAAGACGCTACGGCAACAGAACCTTCGATCCACAGTTTTTACGAAGCTCAGTTAAATGCATAGCATTATCACAAGCATGAATTCTAAGAACTTCAACATGCACCAGCAAATGCATACATAGTGAAGCAATTTACGGTCCTTGAGTTTTGTTTCCAAGGAGGAACCGCCAGATGGACCGTTGGATGTTCAGACGCCGACCCGGGGCGGCGGACGGGTTGGAAGTCACCCATTGCCTCTGCTCATTGCCAATTTTGATTGTTTATATTTATTTATTTTTAGCAGCCTACGTTTAAGATGCAAATCCCATAAAAAGCATAAATCTTGTACAGTGATAAATGGCTTCAGCAACGGCGACAAATACAGTATCACACGACCCCCCCTACTGGATGTTGCTGAGACAGTCGGAGAACACCGACACTCAGCCGTGACAGCGGGTGCGCTCTGCGCGGCCGTTTAAAAAGAAATCAAGCTGCCTTGTTTGCTTCGCACATACATACCACTTCAGCCGTTTGCCCCCTACTGCCACTGGGAAACAGGATAATAACAAGTGACACTGGGAATATACAATTCAATTAAATGCCCTTTTTTCGGTCGTAACTCGCCACCTGAAAAAGTCGGCATTCCGGAGGCCCGTGAGATTGAAGCAGGCAGAGCAGAATCAGACCGCCTGGTTTGGTCGGTTTGTGGCCGGCACATCACTTTGGTGAAAATCATAAATAGACATTCTTTCTATAAAACGAAAAAGCAGGAAAACAAACAGCGACACCGCCTTTCAGTTTAAGGTGAAAAATCCCGGCATCAATAAAACCGAAAACAGAGTTATACATGTCTAACAACTAGCAAAAACCTACAATTGATCAAAATAAAAGAATTCAGCGTTCAGCGTATGCAACGTTTTAAGGAATAACGTTTACATTTTTCACCACACCGCCAAACAATAAACAAGAACGAGCTGATGCTTATAATTTCAAGGGGGCATAACGTCTCACGAATTTCGCGTGAATAAACAGCGAAAGGAGAATGAATGGATAGTTCAAAGGGTCATTCCGAAAAATGGGCCAGTTTGGGCATATAAGGACCTACCCAAGATGCCTGAAAGTTGTAAAAGATCTTGGCGACAAAATCGTACGCCCGTCGATGACTTAAGGGATACTTAAAGACAATGGACTTACTTATATACATGTATATATATTTCATACCCCCTTGTGACTCATCATCAACTGAAATTTTTAGGAAGTTTCACACGGTTGATGCGTCCAGAAGCAGGGGTAAATGTGCGTAATCCCCCGGGCAGAAATCTGAGCTTTTACATTGCGGGCAAAAACAACTGCACATCAGCAATTCTGACATCTTCAGGAAGCCATATTTGGTAATGGGTGGTGTGTCTCAGTCCGGCATTTTTTTTCGAGAACAGGAGTTCCTGCGAGAAATGTACTGGCGACGTCCTTTCTGAACAACTATCCCGAGAGCGCCCGCTGCATAAAGCCAATGATCCACTGAGAGTCTGTTTCAAGGGTAAGAGGTTTGCTGACAGCTATTTTCGAAACCAAAAATCCTGCTACGACTTTGATGTTGTCCATATCTCGGAATTTAATTTGACACAATAAAACTTAAGAGCCGGCCGTATCGCATTTCGATCCCAAACAGACGCAAAAACGTCAGGGGCAACTCGGCAGCGGAAAAAAAGTAAATGAGTTGCAAATTGAAGATAACTGTGCGTTCATTGATCGCGCTGAATTGGTCCCCAAAGACACTCTTTACCGCTAAACTTTTGCTCGACCTTTGACTTCATAGGGAGGGGTCATGGCCCGCTTATCCTCAGAGGAGGTGCTAGTTCTGCTTCCGAGACGCGGCTATACTGAAAAAAAAAAACATGCAGAGTCGAGCTTGGATGTTTCCCACGTAGGGATACAGTGAGTTCGGCCATAAAACGGTTTGATGATTATTGATAGAATGATGGAAAGTAAAAACGTTATCCCAGGACAAACAATACCGCAAATGCTGCGCATGCACAAAAGACGCCAATTGCGCATAAGCAGCATAGTCAAACCTTTAAAAAAACGATGCAAAACGACCAAGCTTTTTCCTGATTTATGAGAATTCTGTAATAAAGTCAACTTATAATGCTGAAATGATGGCCACGTAGTGCACGTGGCACCGGTTTAAGCTAATAAAGAATCGCAATGCATGCACAAGAAAGGCTTGCTGATAATCCATAGTTTTCATACAAAACGTATGATCAAGAAAAGTATTCAAGTCCCCGTTCATAGAAAGGCTTCATAACTTGTACATGCAAAGCAAACGTATTTCTGGGCCTTTTAAAATTCACATAGCTGCTATGGATATTTCATAGACACGAGTTTTCTGCAATTTTGCACTCTTTGTCAATGTATGGAAATTCTTTTGCACCCCTACTTGCATTGAAGGGGTACGTTTTTAAACACTTAAAATTAAACATGCTTTCCTTGACCGCTGAGGGCGCTGTTGAGATGCCATACAGGAATAACGTAGTTCAGAGTATAGCTTTTTTTGTTAAAATCGTGAACCCAGAATATACTTCCCGGAAACATTTCTGGGAAAGGGGTTGGGGCTTGGTTACTGCTTCGCACAGAAATAATGAATCAAAAAAGAAATGACAAATTTAGCAAGGCAAAAATCTACAAGAAATCCACGAACGTTTTGTGCACAAACAAATGTAACACTGAGGTTTTCTTCCAAGGATGACATCACAGATTTGATCACGAATATGGAAATATTTATCAAAATAAAATGAAAAAGGCAATAAAATGCAGTTTGACATAGTGAAACAAAGTTAAAAATAAGGTTTACAGAGAACATTTTGGGAGTCTGTATTAAAACAAATTGATTGTAGCTACCCTTTAACACTGAGGGCGCACGCACATCATTATAGATAGCATTTTGGGGTTAGACATTGACAACTTTTCTCACAATTTGGTTTTGCACAACCGAGCATATTAATGTACAAAGCATGAATGTTTACGAGACTACTGCAGAGGTAAGAATAACTTCATAAGCTGAACGGATGGAATATTCAATATGATTTGTCGAAACCAAGTGGAGTGGAAAATTCTGTCAAGTAACGAAAACAATTCTTTTCACTTGAATAATTCAGTGTGTGTGGTCAAAACCAACCAATTAGATGATGGGGATTTATTCAGGCGTTGTACAAAATAATAGATATATGCTTGCTTAAAAAGTTATTCAGACAGAATGGAAATTCAAATAAGCCTTTTACGGGTTACATTAAATAAAATCTGGTACACTGAGTTCTTTAAATTCAGATGAACAATTAGAATTCTCCACGCTAATACTACGTTAGTGAAACCTCGTGATTAAAGGCAGGCTTTTCCTTCAGTTACATAAGAGACGCCTTGCAACAACACACAGTTCTCAATGGATAAAAAGGGGACAAAGGAACCAATCCATGGTAGTCGCTGTGCAAGAGCTTGCTTCATATGTGCAACGGTGTATTTAGTCTGAGGAATTCAATTTTTTATGTGAAATCAGATAAATCAATATACCAGATTTTATTCAAATTTAACCAAAATGGCTTATTGGCTGCATGCACAATGTTGCAGACCAAAGAAAAACAGAGAAAAATGTGTACCTCGAGAAAGACAACCATCACCGTAGGCCAGATCCCGCGGTGTCGAGCCGGGCCTATATTTCGGCCGGCGAAGTTCCCCAAGGCCGCCTCCTTGGCGATCCTGACGCTTTCAGGTTACCTTCGTAGGTGGTTGGTGTTCCAAGGGTTCTGTGCCAAAGTACTGGACTGTAGCCCAACTGGCCATGTCTCTAAAGTCCCCAGCTTCTTGGACAAAGACGCCGAAACGGGATCCGATTTTTTTTATCACCGCCAACCTTGCTTTCGCGAGAGCAGTTTGTGTACCACGCATCGCATAACTCATTCGTCTCCAGTTTATTTGAAAGTGTCCACATGAAATTTAAGATTTTTAGGGCCTGAATTGGCGTTTGAACTTTGGTCAATGTATTTCCTTACGATTCCCGAACACCACCAGCTGTATCGCTGACGCACGTGCCTCTGTGGTCGACATAGCCAGACAACTACAGCAATCGCAGAACAAAATAGGTATAGCAGTATTTGGAATACGTGCATGAGCCTGTATGCGTCTGCAGAAAAAAAACTATAAAATGTATTGTTATCCTAATTACCGTTGGGGGAGAACAGGGAATACAATGCAGTTACATAAGAGGAATTGGGTCTAAACGCCAGGCAAAGCTACGTCGTTCATTGATTTGTTCATGCAGGTTAAAACAGTCAAAGCCACAAAAGCGACGGGAAGGAACAGATTTCCACGAGCTTACATTTCTTAATGAAAAAATGAGTGAAATCCAATTCAATATTGCATCACCGTCTTGAATGTTGCATTAGATTCCCTTTAAAAAAAAGAAAAAAAGGAAAAAACAAACAAACACATGCTCAACTAATAATGTCGAAGTATTGAATGGTTTTGAAGGCGTTGTGATTGGCGCCCTCTCTAGTTGACAATGGCCACGTTTTATCTTCGCTCGTCGCCCAGCGCCCGAACAGCTAACGACGCACTGAGCTAGAGCTTTGTGGGTAAATTTCTACCAGGCGCTCGCGTGCTCAATGTGGCAAAATATTTTCACAGCACTCTATTAATTCATCCAAACTTGATCAAGATAACCAATGATTTGAAAAATATCGCTACAAGACGCGTGGGTCAATGATACTTAGTGAGAAGATGAGTTACCGTGGTTGTACCAAGGTCATGTTTTTATCTTATAAGCAGACACTTTGACCTGTGGCTTAGCATTGGTATTGGCTAACCATAAACTTGAAATGACGCTTCGCTCACAGGAAGTGATAACCTCGCGGTCGGAGGTCGTGCACAAAGTAGCCAGTCACATTGTAAAGCCATCAGCCCTTCCGAGCGCCCGGCTTCAGTTGGGCGCTGGGCGACGAGCGATGTTTTTCTCATGCAACTTCAGGTTGGGGTTGGGTTCGTGTAGCCGAGATTTGTTTGCCCGTTGCTAAATAGAACTTTCGTCTCGTTTTTAATATGATGAATTACACAACGAAACAATGAAGACAAAAGATAACAGCAGATTCCGGATTACATTTGTGACGAAGTAATCACTGCATTTGTTGTCTATCTTCACAATCCCTGTGTTGCTCTTTAATTAATTAAAAACTGATTTCGCAGTCCCTATTTTGTGCTTCTAACGCATTTTCCGTCCCAAGTGAAATTTTCCTCAGTGTCCCGACTTTTCTTTCTCAAGCCAGTTACATTCTACCACTCTGAAATTCACCTCCACTATTCGGTTTGGTTTAGATGCAATATGGTGATGCGGCAGAGTCAACATTTTTTCATTGTTCCATGACAATTTAAAAGGCTTCTTCAGAGGTAACTTCCAGTAAACATGAGCTCAACCAGAGACATGGCTCCTTTTTCATAGCTCCTGGTGCTCCAACATACCCTCCGCCCCACCCCGGCTGATAAATCCACGCGTCATGTCCCCCTTGCCAAAATTGTAACCTTTTCTCCTGAGACATTATTCCCGTGCACATGGACGAAAATAGGAAATCGAGTTCACGACATTTAGAAGGGGATAGGGTGGATAAACTGTACTTTGCAGGGAACACATGGATTTGAAAGGTTGCAAGAATCATAGTATATTGCTCAAGATCCAAGCAAGAATTCAGGCGAGGAGAGAGCCAAATCATTGTCAGCGCGAATCAGGCCCCAGCTCGTCAGTGGGGGATGGTAATCGACTTGGACGTACGAGGGAAAGGGGGAACAATCGCGGGGAAAAGGTCCCATAACGGAAAACTGAATTAGAGGCGAAGGCCGCAAACCTGCCCGGATCGAGCGCAGATCAGCGGCGAGGATGACTCCAACAGCAGGTGTCGGCCGGGAGCATGAGTCGACAAAAATCCAAAACCCGGGGATCCACTCGCGAACATGGAGTGCAGACGGAGAACAATCAGCTATCTGCAGTAAGGGGGGGGCAGGGTATCTGTACAAGGGGTGAAGAATACCAAACTTATAGTTCTCATCCAGAACTGACCGTCGCACGGTCACTCTAAGCACTCCACACAATGTTGAAATACAATCAACGATACACGTATAGCTATAATTTCGTTCGAAAATGAAATGCACACTCGGGTATCACTATAAGCAATTCAGTCCTTACTTTGGGGCTTGGGGCAGTATGATTCTGATATAGGATATATATACGAAATACTACACATATTAAACTGTCCGTTGCTGGTGCTAACCAAATTACCTTGTTTAACACGGAAACTTGTAGAAGGACTGGACTACAAAACGCCAAACGAAAGAGATTGAGTGTTTTTGACGTTCAAAGTTGCTCTTTATAACAGTGTTTTAAAACATAAAATATCTGGGGCAAAATCCATTTTTCCCGATATCGTCGCAATGCATTTTTTAATAAATCCAATGAGGCTGTTGCCAGTTTGGCACTGTTTGGCAACAATGTGTGTTAAGGAAATGTGACATAGCGTTCCCACCAAATGCTAATTTTCCAAGACAGGTTTGCCCCTTGTAAAATTTAACCTAAGTTGTATTGACGGGAGCTCAACAAAACAGACAGGTCGACAAGCCTGAGAGCGTGAGCTATGAATGACCAAACCCTGTGTAGTGTTGAACTGGAACTCCATAGAGGGTCTTATAACTGCTTTTACATACATGCTATGTTTTTGGTCGTGAGACAGCCGAGATCTTGGAGGCCAGCCAAATCCCAGCTCTTTGAGGCTTAAGAGTCATTTTCATTTGAACAACGTGTCATATTACTGGTGGCCCACTGACCAAATACGTCAATTTACCGAGCAAAAATTTGGCGTTGATTACTGACCCATCAGGCCACAGGACATGGAAAGAGCATTAACTCAGCTGGTCTATTGACTTTTGCTCAATAAAAAAATTTGCTTATTAGAGTTCGCTATCAAACAGTTCTCTCTTGGCCCTATGTGAGCTAGAAACTGACGAAAACGACACAGTTGCGGGGACACGTCAGGAATTCCAGTTGTGATTTCCTCGTGTTGCCCACTCCCCGCGTTCCCAGCCACGAGCGTTGCCCGTGACGAGCTCGTTTGCGTCGGCAGGAAATTGTTCTTGACGTGCCCATGATTCAATTTAGTCCCGGTGGTGCTGGAGAAATCACACACAGACGAGTCACAAGTGACTTGAACAGCGGTGACCGATGACTAGCGCATTACGTGTGCACGGTTGATGCGCCACGTCATCTCGACATGGGAACGTGAAGGGGGAGCACTTCAAGTGCGTAACACCGAAAAAAAGAGTTAAATTCGAAACAAAGTACGAGGACTATGTCTCTTGCTGGTAAATGCAATTGTCCCTGTGTGTTTAAAAAGACATCACCTGTCAAGGAGTGCACGCTGAAAGACAATGTTGACAACAGGTAAGGTCGAATGCACGGTATAGCTCGACCAATAGGCCAGTCAACGGCTTTAGCAAAGTGCGCACACTATACATTCCCAATCAAGCAACCCTTGTCAGATCATTTGTGTGAAATCCTATCGTCACTCATATTTTTTGGCAAATTGGCTGCATCTGTCCCTGTGTTCATAGTGCCCCATCACCCGACGCAATTATTTTCGCGTCGACGGTTCCCTCTGTACTTAACTACAACTAGGGCCACCGATCGCCAACGACTCAACCGTGCTCCTGGGTTTCGTCCGAATGGTCGACTTGACTTCTCCGACCACACGGTTCGGGTGACATGGTTAGCCTGATGTGGTTGTCGGACATGGCAGGGCATGTTGGTCAAGTATTTTGTGGATGGCGATGGAGGAGGGTCTTACAAGCTTATATTAATCTCTCGATAGCACAGAGTGTATTCATGTGCCGGCCATCTAGAACTGAAACTGAGTTAAAACTCTTAATATTGTGAACATGAGAGCTAAAATAACACTGACAAAATAAAAGTACAATTAAACAAATCCATGCCAACTTTTGTCAAGCTTAACGTGGACTTGGATAACTTAGATCTTAATGTTTTAAGCCACATTTAAAGAAAACGAGTGAGATTTGGAACCAAAAATACTCACACACACTCACAATACTCACCACACCACAGATCACTTTGATTGTGGCAGATTCAGGGAACAAGATAAAAAAAATGGCTTCCTTGTGAATAAAGTCAATTCCCAAATGTCATCTGTGACATCAAATTCAAATCTTGCACGTTAGACTCTCAAGGCAATTGCAATCTGCCGCAAAGGTCCATCTCAATCAACAAACTACATCCAAAGACTGAAATCCATACAACACTTGAAATTAACAATTGAGTGTTATTATGTATACGAGATATTTCATCAAGAACAAATTTAAGGAAGCATTTAAGATTTGAAAGGACATGAGAAAAATATGACCTTTTTATTTTTGCAGAAATTGTTGATGGGAAAAATAAATACACATCTAAGATAACTCTGCCAAGGCCAAATGGCAAGAGAAAAACATTAAAACCATAATCACGATACTTTCTTAGTTGAAAACGTAACGTTGATAGTTTGCGTTTCAAACAGAGCAAACTAAATTCGCTGTTCTTTCAGCTGAGCGCCTACACCAAAACATTCATGAATGGACGGACGTGACCATGTGATCAGGTCAACATGATGAACAGGACCGGGAGGAGACTCGGCATGTCCAAATCCGGAAATAGATGCAGGTGGCTGCAATTCGACTTCACGAATGCCAACAAGGACGGAGATAGGCCCGACGTCCATATCTGCATATCCAGCTACATTCCACGGGCATCACCTTTGCTTCTCGTCAATACCACCAGCACAAATAGCGAAAAAATATACAGTAAAAGGCATCTTTTTTTCACCAAAAGGTATATAAATCTCACGATGAAACTCCAATAAATAGCTTATGTACATAGTGTCTCGATTCCTTGTAAATATTTATAGCCAGAAATACGGTTCCATGTTCGCCGACCTAGGTTTTCAAGTTACTGGCGAAAAGAATGCAGTGCAAGCCCAGTGGAACCAGGCTGAAAGAATTAAGCAACTCAATCCTCGAATGTAAAATCCGAACTTTGAATTTTAAATACATGTATCTTGAACCTTGAACCAATGAACTTTGACAGCAATAAGGAATCACTTTACACAATTGGTTTCAAGAAGAAATTCACTTCCCAGTAGGGAATTTACTCCGCAAAGTATCAAAACTCGTTTCTCTTGGCCCGCTCTAAAATTCTGCCTTTGGTTTTCAATTCTACACAAATCATATGGGCGCCCTCTGTTGACAACTCCTTCTCAAGTCAACGAGTCCAATTCTGGTTTGCGGCTCTGTTGGATATAGACTGAAGTGAAAAGCGCCCCCTTATGACACCTTTTGGTGCGACGACTTGCGGAAAGGGTCCACATAATGAACTCTTTCATGTCAATACAATCACGGGTTCACATATTCTCGTTTGCGTTTCCGGGTATAATGCACAGCAATATTGCCACAATAAAAGACTTAATTGCTGCATTAAACGGCGTTGGACAAAACATTTAAAAACCAGACCTGTGGATTAAACATGGCCAGGTCATCGCAACGTGTCGCGGTGTAAGCAGGGCTGTAGTACCGCGTCACTTCGTTCGCAATCACGGAGATTCCAGTTCTGCATCTGACGTGGATTCCCTGTCTCGGTCGCTGGGGGCGGTAGACAGCGAATATTTGGGTCCGTAATTGGTTGGAGTGATGCTCTCGACGATGAGTGAAAGATGGTCCAAGCTGGACACACGGCCGTCTGAATCTGAAAGGGACGACACGAAACCGTCATTTCAACGGGAAAAACGGGACAATTTGAAATTGTGACAGAGAACCGGTTTATAATGGGCATATAATAGTATACAAATATAACATGGTTAGAGGGTGGATGGTCGATTTTGGCCTCCAGGTATCGAAAGTTGACATAATCAGTTCCCAGGGCGGAACAAATGTTAAATTGTTTTACCATACCTCACACATAATTCAGTTGCCATTATAATTTGAGGCACGCTTAAAGCGCCTTTCTATATGTACGTTTTTGGGCGCGTTGCGTACACGATGCGTTTTTTCACTTTCACGGACACAAAAATCGACAACCATTAACATAACACACATGTGGGTAGGTTGTGTTCGATCGCACCCTGGGCGATTTTGACGGATACACAACGCTTGACGCGTGTATTGGCGCGAACATGGAAAGGCGTCTGAAACCCCTGACCAACGTACGCGTGCCGCCATGTTTTCGTGCATACACCACCAAGGCGACAAGACAAGATAGCTGGACTGGTCCCTGTAGCTCGCTGGCTTCTGAAGTCCACGGTCGGTTTAGCTCTGCGCATGCGCATTTGTCTATTGATATAGATGGAGTGTACATACATGTACATACGAGTGAAAGCCGAACACGTGGCTCTCGGGAAAACTTCAGAAAAGGTTTTTGCCCTGTAGTGCAATTGTGGAAGCGGTTACCCCTAAAAAGCAGGGAAATACTTCTGAAAATTGTGTTGCGTGCGGAAATGACTCAGTATATCTAGTGTTAATCCATTCTAGAAAGTCTTCCATAATTTTGTGACGTCACAGTGTTGCATTGTGGGAACAGTTAAATGTCAATTTCCTCATTAACATAAAACTGGCAAGATTGCTCCGGAATCATTACCCGCAAAAGGTCGCTACGCTTGGAGGACGTCTGTAGGACGTCTGGAGACTACGTACTGGACAGGAACCAGTCTACAAGAAAGCCTCCTCAAGCACATGCGTAGTAAAGTATTCCCGGCAGAAAGTAATCCAGCATGCGTATTACTTTGACTTGTGTGCGGATCCTAGCGTGGCGTGTGCACGTGGTAAACAGCAAACATAGCAACTGGCACGTGTGAGCAATGGACCAGTGGGAATGCCGCCCTCGATGATGAACATTAAGTATGGTAACGCTGGATATGCAATTGAGTATAATACCATTCCCTACACATGTACAGTTTCTTTGATGAGCACGATACCAGACAAATCCTTTAATGTGATCAGTATTTAAGCCATGATTTAATGTGGTGTCAAATCTTTCTTCACGAGTCTACGTACTCCTCGCCATTTCGTGAATAATTATTTCACCGTCCTCGTAGAGGTGTGGCTTGAAATATCACCCCCGTCCCCACTCTATATGTATCCAAGTATAATGATAAGGACACTACCAATCTCGTTGTCATACTTCTCACTGTCGCAGTCTCCAACTGAACGCCACCAAGATGACACAAAGTACAAAATCCTCAACACTAAAAAAAATCAAGATGACCGATGCATATGCCATGCATCTTTGAACACGCACAAATGGAACCCACACTCTAGAAGCAATTCACACATTTTGCACAATTACTTTGCCAGATTAAAAGTGCCTTAACTTCAGACAGTCGGTGCGGCAATCTGGCAAATCTATCTGCTGTAGCGAACTGCAAACAAACAGGCTTGTGCCGTAGGCGATTTGTGCCAGCACCTTTCTGCGGGGCTGGCCGCGAGACGACCCGCGTGTTTGCACGGGCGCACGGGGGTCAAACTCGGTTAGCTAGATCGGATCCTCGGTAGATCGATCGGGAGTCTGGCCCAGAATAACTGCTCAACGAGAGTAAGAACTTTAGTTTCACGACAGCTATACTTCCATTGAGCGTTTCTTAATTCTGCAAGTGTATTCCATTTGTAGCACAGCGTTGGATGGGCAGGGCAACTGTACCCGATGAAAGGCAACCTTCCAATGCTTCAAGTCATTTCAAATAATATTATTAACAAGATTTACAATTTGGAAGACAAGGAATAAGTTCAGTATGGGCATGCACTCAAATTATCTTAGATGTATCCAGAAGACAGTCTGGCATAAGTTATTAGCTCCGAATAACCACTGAATTTATGTAATGAGTCGAGACTCGAGCTTGGGGCTATGAGCCCCAAGCGCGACCAAGAGAGGGCGCAATTTTCCAAGCAACGGAGGTTCCTTTGGTAGGAAGTGCACTTCGCTGGTTCACTATAAAATGCATGTGTTGCGGTCGCGTAGCTACCAACAAAAACGAACACTCTCAACCAGCACGGCTCTTTTTCAACCGATGAGGGGTGCTTCTGCTCAAAGCGGATAGCTTACAATACTAGAGGTTAACAAACGTTACAGTTCGTTCTGAAAACAAAAGAACAGCGAGTTGATAATGACGGTTAGTCTTTATTGCATTATGACGAGCCGTAATACCACTCTCATTTTTCTCATCTAAGAACTAAAAAACAAGCTACGGAAAGCCAAATGGGATCGTGCCCACCACTTTCTTAAATTAAGAGAGGGCGACACAGGCATAAACAGTCCAGGCCCGTTTCCAGAGATACATACAGCTCTGAAAACCAGAATGCATTGTTTCCACTATAATCCTAAATGCGTTGGCATGGAAGCGGGCGCTACCACCACATGACGAGGCCGACACACATGGGAATCAGGTTCCGTTGCACTTCAAACGTATTACACAGGCTCCCTAGAAAGACCTAGCTGCCGATAAAATAATACGGTGTCTCTCAACGTTGGAACGGGTCAAAAATGTCGCGTGGCCCGTGGAACTGCCCCTCGGGGTCCACAAACCACATATCTAACATGCAAGTTCAACGGTTGCTAGAAATGACTAGCAAGGGCCTACAAAGTATATACTTTAAGGTGTTGACATCGAGCCGTAAAAATTTCAATAGCTACTCTTACGAATGTTCGTCAGTTTTAACACGGTACTAGGATTCAATGCAAAGCTAGTTCAGAAACAAAAGGATTCAAGAGGTAAGTCCTACTCATACTGTGCCATTTCCGAGTTCGTCTCGTTACAGCCTACAAAAGAACAATTATCAGCATCTATAATCTCCATGAGTAGTTTTCAGAATGTTAAGAATGCCATCAGTAGTACATGTAGATTATTTTGCCATAACTCTCAGCAACGAATTCTACTTGATTGGCACTGTGGAGTTTACAAGGCTGTTCTGTCGGCATCGATCTTCGCATCACTCGCTAAGCAGATAATTACAGCATGCTACCCTACATGTATAACTAGAGGTGTTGTTGAAGAAACAACATCAGGGGGAAAAAACTAAGAGAACAGAAAGTAAAAGATGCAAAAACATCGGAAAAGTCATTTCCGCTGGGACCGTGCCAACCTAATCCTAGCCTGCGGTGAAACTCGCGGAAACTACGGGCACACCAGGCCCACTCCTAACTGGGCGGTCAGCCGAAATCCCTGCCGCTCTCCCACGACACGCGGGGTACGGGTGTGTTTGGATGGTGTTAAATAGGTCATCAACCTGAAAAAGGGGGGTGGGGGTGGAGGAAAAGCCACGGCTTGCTGCAGAGGTTACAATTTAGAAATTTCAAACAAGTGTAAAGATTACGTCGAGCGAGTCGACAAAATCTCGTAAGCTATAGCATAATGTGCTTTTTTACTGTGTGATATTCAGATTAGCTCTCCACGGTCGAGTAGACCGCCTTTTTAGAATAAGGTAGTCATCTTTCAGAGTAAATCTCTCTTCGGGAAAGTTAACCCTGTCGGGCTAATCTAACCTTTTTTTTCTACAAGTTAGATGTGCCACAATTTTGGAATCACTGAAATAACTTTAGGGCATCACTGAAATATCTTGCCTGACCACCGCACAATTACCGGGGAGAGAGAATTATGTTAATTAAGGATCTTTATACCGCAACATCAACCAGGCAACCTTTCACATGTTATATTTGCCCATGTATTTACCCATTTTGGGGAGAATTTTGCTTTTCTTCATTTTAAAGAAATTGCTAAAGAGTAACTCACAGAGCAACAGTTCGTAGCTTTAGTTGGATACTGCACCAGAAAGGCCTTAGTTTAGACTTGAATTTGAGGTAAATGACCTGATGCCTGCACAGTAGTGCTGTATTCGAGCCCATCACAAGTCATTCAGTCTTAAGCCATTTCACAAGGTATTCAAATGAGCTTTGACAAAAGCATTCCTTTGTCATTGTCCACCCCGTTACTTATGACTGGCCTTGTGAAAGATATTGTGACGGACTCGGACACAACAGTGCTGCCCAGTGCGGCGAATCATGTCACACCATAATCATAGCCATGGTGTGTGCATGGACAGATTTGTCGCCAAACTTGAAGACCGATTTGCCAAAGACTAAAAAAAGTTCAAGATGATTTAAGTTAACTTCACCTCGCTTTTTAGAACTTCGTTTATACGCAAGGCTCCGACCGAGTAGCGTTTTATTTTCCACCCTGCCCTCCATTTTAACTCCTGGCGCGGTCACGTATTGGGACAATGCACTTTGGCCAAATGTTTACTATCGATCGTATAAAATGCTGCATCTCTCAACAGCAGCGGCAATAGCGTGCAAGACGGAAGCCATAAAAACTCGGCCGCATCATGGCCGTTCTCTTTCCGCAAGAACAAACCACAACTCGAACACACGTTTTCAACCGTGGACAGTACTCAGAAGGCACTGATGCTGCAGCGACAAGTTTATGCTTTCCTGGTAATGGTGATCCATGTTCCAAGTTTTTAAGTTCAACTGAAGCGTAACAATGATAAAAAAATTACACCGTTCGCCGAAAATGATCGCAAGACTCGACATAACTTTTCACGCTGTCGTGTCATGCTTCCCTTATTAATTTTCTATAATAACTCTACATGGTCATTAATCTGCAAGATTCTATTAGACCATAAATTTCAGAACATTATTATGTTGAGGCCCTCACTGATGGCATTATGTTGTAACCGAATGCATGCGATAGGGATTTA